AATCATCCAAGAGTCGTTCCTCCCCGGAACGCTCGTTCAAAACTCACAACTTTCTTTTCATCTCATATATCGTTCATCATTTATAATTTTTCATTTTATTATCATTTTCTTCATCTTTTTCAAGTTCATTAAATAACGAACGTTCAGCCCTCTTCATAACCAGGACGAACGTGAGGAACGAGACCGAGAAAATCCCCCGTTCCAGAATAGAATAAAACCGACTACAATAACACCGTATATGACGAACGTCATTTACCACTTGAATCAGTTGAATGAACTGGCTATCGTAAATTCAGATCGATACTCAAAGAATATTTTAAGTAAAGAAGTTCTAGGCCGGATCCAATGGATGTGGGCCCCTCAAGACGATTAAAGAACCATACCTAGAATAATTCAATTACAGAAACCGACTGCCAGTCAATGACCGAACACGATAAAAGGATTTACTAAATTTGGACGAACGCTATTTCCACCAGTTTGATAATTAAAGACGAGTACGAGCGTTCGGTATAAGACCGAGCGCCACTCATAACGAACGCTTTGGGTCGGAACCCATCACTGATTTGAACTCATGATAGAAATAGTAATATTAATAAATATAATACGGGATGGTGAAGAGAGGTTTAAGAATGACTAGGTGTCCAGATATGTGTTTACAAGTTTCTCAATTCCTCACATAACACTCAGACCATCTACACTTGGCCGAACGCTCAAACGTAGAACTATTATCCAAGGGCGTTCGTCCTCAACTAAAATTCTTCCCAGATGAAAGAATTCAATTTCAAAGAAGTTTACTAGTAACCACCGAACGGTCAAGTACCGTTCAATGACAAACGTTCATTATCATAGGGAATTTATATTCAAAGTTTCATTTACATTAAACTCATTTCTCAGCATACGATTTCATATTTTCAAATACTCATATCATAGTACATTTCATAATTCTCATACATCAGCTCATAATCATAACCATATACCAAAAATCAAATATCACAAATTCATACTTCATTCAACTCACAGAACGTCCATACAGCACAATACAAACATACGAATTAAATTGAATAAGCTTCCCTTACCTGGATCAGTGAGTGAACGTCCTAACGTAAGATTTTGGGTTCGCCCGTCTACAGCTTTCTACCCTCAAAGATCACTTAACTCTTGCAACTAAATCTAACCACATAAAAATCAAGTATAACTTAGACTATATCCCTGCATGCAACCAGAACTTGGTTTTGCATGTAACTCAAGAACGAACGACTAAGGGAAGAAACTTACCAGCTCAAACTTGAAACTTGTTCGGTTTAAGAGGAAGCTTGGGACGCCGGGAATGCTCCTACGGTGCCTGAACGGTGATCGGAGCAGAGAAGAGTGAGTTACAGTAGAGAGAAGGATGAGTTTTCTAGAGAGAAGAAGGAGGAAAATGAAAGATCAGATCTTGAAAGGAGGGTGCATGCAGAGGAGAGGCGCTTCCGTTTTTCCAGAAATCATGTTTGTTTACCCCACGTCCAAACGGTCGTGCACTCTCCTGTTGACACCTGCACTCCACTAACTGACTTCCGAATCTTCTATTATTGACACCTGGCGTTAGTGCGTCAGAGTTGAGTGCGTTTTTAATGCATCTGAGCAGGGTTTTGGGCGCATTTAATGAGATTAAACAGGTGGGGTTTGGGTTAAATTTCTGAGGTCTGACATTCACCCTAACTACAAAAATTTTCGTCCTCGAAAATTAAAACCTACCAGGAAACAGGTGAGGGTACAAGTCCTTCATGGCATCCTCCACTTCCCATGTAGAGTCGCCCGTCTTATCGTTCCACACCATTTTCACTAAACGAACGCCCTTTCCCTTGTAGTACTTGGTGCGGTTATCTTCCACACGGACTGGTTGCATCTCTAGCGTCCGGTCTTGACTAAGACGAACGTCTTCCAACTCCAGTATGTGAGATGGGTCGGCTATGTACTTCCGGAGTTGGGAAACGTTGAAGACTGGATGAAGGTTGGACAGTTGAGGTGGCAATGATAGCTCGTACGCTACTGGTCCGATCTTCCTTAGGATTTGGTAAGGCCCAACGAACTTGGGAGATAGTTTCTTGGGTCGAACAGCTCTGCCTACTCCAGTGGTCGGATTCAGCCTAAGGAAAACATGATCTCCATCATTGAACTCTAGCGGCCTTCTTCTTCTGTCTGCGTATGACTTTTGTCGACTCCTAGACATCTTCAACCTCTCTTGGATTAATTTTACCTTCTCGGTCGTCTGCTGAATAAGCTCGGGTCCAGTCAACACGTTCTCTCCTTCTTGAAACCAGCAAAGTGGCGTGCGGCACTTCCGTCCGTAAAGAGCTTCAAAGGGAGCCATTCCAATGCTAGACTGGAAACTGTTGTTGTAGGTGAACTCCACTAAAGGCAAGACTTCATCCCAGACGCCCATGTGATCAAGGACGCACGTCCTCAGCAAGTCTTCGAGCGTCTGGATGGTTCTTTCAGATTGGCCGTCCGTCTGAGGGTGATACGCCGAACTCATCTGAAGTTTGCTGCCCAGTTCGCTTTGTAAGGATTGCCAAAACCGAGAGGTGAATCTCGTGTCTCGGTCAGAGATGATACTGGACGGCACTCCGTGTAGACGAACGATCTCCTTAATGTAGAGCTTTGCCAGGTTGATCATAGACATCTTCAGGTTGACCGCTAGGAAATGAGCGCTCTTCGTCAATCGATCCACTATTACCCAAATGGAATCGTGATTCTTGACTGTGCGGGGTAAGTGGGACACGAAGTCCATGGAAATGTTGTCCCACTTCCATTCGGGAATCTCCAGTGGTTGCAGTAGACCGCCCGGCCTTTGGTGTTCCGCCTTCGCTCGTTGACAAGTTAAGCATGATGCCACAAACCGTGCGACATCATTCTTCATTCCCGGCCACCAGAATGATTTCCTGAGATCTTGATACATCTTAGTCATGCCAGGGTGCATGCTAAGACGGTTGTGATGACCTTTCTCCAGAATAATCCTCTTCAGATCTCCATCGTTTGGAACGCACGTCCTACCCATATAGCGTAAGAGGCCGTCTGTTCCAGTGTTGAACTCCTTAGCTTGATATGTGCCGAGCGCGCCCCTTATCTTTACCAATTCTTCATCTGTTAGCTGCTTCTCTCTGATCCGATCAAAGACATCACTGGATATTCTAAGGTTACAGCATCTAATATTGTTCGGTTCCAAATCGAACTGTAACCTTAGATCTCTAAAGCTCTCAACCAGACTGAGTTCTCTTACCATCATAACCGAGACGTGAACTGCTTTCCTGCTTAAGGCGTCCGCCACCACATTAGCCTTCCCCGGATGATAAAGCAGTTCAAAGTCGTAATCCTTCAAGAACTCTAGCCAACGTCTCTGCCTCATGTTTAACTCCTTCTGATCAAAGAGATATTTAAGACTCTTGTGATCACTGAAGACTTGGAACGTAGATCCATACAGGTAATGCCTCCAAATCTTCAGTGCGAAGACGACCGCTGCCAACTCCAGGTCGTGCGTCGGATAGTTTCTCTCGTGAATCTTCAGCTGACGAGAAGCGTACGCGACCGCTCTCCTCTCTTGCATTAGCGCACAACCTAAACCTTGATGAGAAGCGTCGCAGTATACCTCGAACGGTTTGGCTGTGTTTGGAATAATCAGAACTGGAGCGCTCGTCAATTTCCTCTTCAATTCCTGGAAGCTCGCTTCACACCGATCGGTCCATGCGAACGGTTGATCTTTCCTGGTCAGCTGAGTTAGCGGGGCTACTATCTTAGAAAATCCTTCAATAAAACGCCTATAGTAGCCCGCAAGTCCCACGAAGCTGCGAACCTCAGTGACCGAACGGGGACTCTCCCATTCTAATACCGCTCATACCTTGGCCGGATCCACTGAGATACCTCCAGCCGACACCACGTGCCCCAAAAATTGAACTTCTTTCATCCAGAACTCACATTTGGAAAATTTGGCGTACAACTCCTTCTCCCTCAATACGCCAAGTACAATTCTCAAGTGCTCATCATGTTCGTCCTGGGTCTTGGAGTAGATGAGTATGTCGTCGATGAAGACGACCACAAACTTGTCCAGGTACGGTCTGAATATGTGATTCATATAATCCATGAAGATTGCTGGTGCGTTCGTCACACCGAATGGCATCACTACATACTCGTAGTGTCCGTAACGAGATCTGAAAGCAGTCCTCTGGACGTCTCCCTCCTTAACTCTGATTTGATGATATCCAGACCGCAAGTCAATCTTTGAGAACACTGTGGCCCCATGCAGTTGATCCAACAAATCATCTATCCTTGGCAGTGGGTACTTATTCTTGATGGTCAGCTTGTTCAATTGTCTGTAATCAATGCAAAGCCGAGAGCTGCCATCTTTCTTCTTCACCAAGAGCACAGGTGCTCCCCAGGGTGATACGCTCGGCCTGATAAATTGCTTGTCCATCAAATCTTCAATCTGCTTCTTGAGTTCAGTCAACTCCGCTGGTGACATCCGATATGGTTGAACAGAGATGGGTGCTGCCGTTGACACTAAGTCAATTGTGAACTCAACCTCGCGAGTAGGAGGTAGTCTAGGTATTTCTTCCGGAAAAACGTCCGGGAACTCATCCACAACCGATCGTCCGTTACTGTCACTACTGGACGATCGTTCTTGCCTTAAACTTCCGAACTCCTGATCTTCGTGCGTCATAATCAGGAAACAACTGGCACCTTCCATGATATCTTCCTTCAATTGACCGAGCGTCACTGATAACTCTTCTTCTTCTTCATCAGGAAATACTAACTCTTTCTTACCACAGTCTATGAGAATGCGATTGGTAGCCAACCAATCCATTCCTAAAATCACTCTAACTCTTTTAGAGGTAAACAGATCAAATTGACCTTATATCTACGCCCCTCGACCTCTATAGGACATCTGACGCAGACCGTAGACGTCCTAACCTCTCCAGTCGCTAGGGTTGACACCACCAAGTCGAACTGCATCTCGCTCTCAGCTAACCCAATTTCTCAACACACGCCTTCGAGATGAAGGAATGTGTTGCCCCCGAATCATATAGTACACAGCAAGGCTTTCCAAATAATAAGCAAGTGTTGATGATGAGTGTACCTGAGCTGGCTGCTTCAGCGCCCGCAATTGCGTAAACTCTTCCCACTGCCTGCGCTCGTCCACCCCGACCTTGTTGCATCCTTCCAGCGTTTGGCGGCCTCATTGTCGCTCGTTCTCCCATATTGCACTCGCTCTCCAAGTAACCATTTCTTCTGCAGCGATTGCAATACTTCCCTCCAACCAACTGAGGACAGGATGACTTGAAATGGGGTCCTCCACATTGAAAAAATTTAACTGTCCCATACTGTCCAGACTGTCCGGCAACAACCATAGATTGAGACCCACTTGCATTCGATGGTTGTGTTGGACGAGCGTACGGCGTCCTATTCCGATTCAAATTTGATCTCGACAAAACCGATCCCCTAGCCACTTGCTGTTGTTTCTTCTGTTGCTCCACTTCGGCCACATTCTTCTCCAACACCTTGGCCCTCTCAACCAGCGTAGGAAACGACCTAATACATAGGCTGGATATCAACACTTTCAGATCACTCCTCAGCCCATTCTCAAACTTCCTACACTGCCACTCCTCACTGGTCGTCATAGTGTTGAATCTCACCAAGTGCTTGAATTTGTTGGTGTACTCTGAAACCGACATTCCACCCTGTACCAACTGTAGAAACTCTACTTCTTTAGCGAAACGTACGCTATCAGGAAAGTATTCTTCATAGAACTTGTTCCTAAAAACTTCCCAGGAGATGGGACTCTGAGCGTCCGTAAGTATCATTTTCATGCTCGCCCACCAATGAATGGCTTCCCCCGTTAATAGATACTCTGTAAACGCCAACCTGTTGTCATCCGGGCACGTCTTAGCATTATATATTCGTTCCATATCCCTTAGCCATTGATCGGCCTCGTCAGGAAGGCACTTCCCATCAAATTTGGCTGGATGATGCTGCAGAAAGTTCTCTAAACTCCACTCTGCCTGGTGGGTAGCGTTTGAAGAGGACGCTCCTGTTGTATTCCTGGTAGCGGCAATGATCTCCATCAATTGCCTCTGAGTAGCTTCAGAGTTGGCGCGAGCTGCTTCCAAACTCTGTAAAGCAGCCTCGTTCTGCTGCATCAAGGCAGTGTTCTGCTGCTGGAGCCGTTCAATCACCGATTCTAACATCCTGGTGTTGTCGGACGCATCACGGTCGGTGGGTTGTGGTGGAGGAGGAGGTCTGGACAACACAATGAAAAACACAGGGTAAGCTTATTTAATTTAATTCAAGTAATCACATGCATTTCTCAACATATCAAACATATCAAATATATTTCAATATACAATTCAATCCATTCCTGATACTAGACTGACTGTCCGGACTGTATGAATTCCGTGTAGCTACGACGTTCGCGCACCCGGGTGGTGTGGTAACTGGCATTCTCATCAGCTGCCACCCGAGGTTAGTCCGTTCCGTCCAAAGTACCTCTAAGGACGAGGACCTCCTGCCGTTCCCACGCATGACGTACCCCCTCTACGTGAGGACGAGTACTCACGGAACATCAGGATCGAATCGCCAGCTAAGTCTGGCCACGGTCATACTTTACAATTCTCATAATCATCCAAGAGTCGTTCCTCCCCGGAACGCTCGTTCAAAACTCACAACTTTCTTTTCATCTCATATACCGTTCATCATTCATAATCTTCCAATTTAATATCATTTTCGTCATCCATTTCAAGTGCATAAAATAACGAACGTTCAGCCCTCTTCATAACGAGGACGAACGTGAGGAACGAGACCGAGAAAATCCCCCGTTCCAGAACAGAATAAAACCGACTACAATAACACCGTATATGACGAACGTCATTTACCACTTGAATCAGTTGAATGAACTGGCTATCGTAAATTCAGATCAATACTCAAAGAATATTTTAAGTAAAGAAGTTCTAGGCCGGATCCAATGGATGTGGGCCCCTCAAGACGATTAAAGAACCATACCTAGAATAATTCAATTACAGAAACCGACTGCCAGTCAATGACCGAACACGGTAAAAGGATTTACTGAATTTGGACGAACGCTATTTCCACCAGTTTGATAATTAAAGACGAGTACGAGCGTTCGGTATAAGACCGAGCGCCACTCATAACGAACGCTTTGGGTCGGAACCCATCACTGATTTGAACTCGTGATAGAAATAGTAATATTAATAAATATAATACGGGATGGTGAAGAGAGGTTTAAGAATGACTAGGTGTCCAGATATGTGTTTACAAGTTTCTCAATTCCTCACATAACACTCAGACCATCTACGCTTGGCCGAACGCTCAAACGTAGAACTATTATCCAAGGGCGTTCGTCCTCAACTAAAATTCTTCCCAGATGAAAGAATTCAATTTCAAAGAAGTTTACTAGTAACCACCGAACGGTCAAGTACCGTTCAATGACAAACGTTCATTATCATAGGGAATTTATATTCAAAGTTTCATTTACATTAAACTCATTTCTCAGCATACGATTTCATATTTTCAAATACTCATATCATAGTACATTTCATAATTCTCATACATCAGCTCATAATCATAACCATATACCAAAAATCAAATATCACAAATTCATACTTCATTCAACTCACAGAACGTCCATACAGCACAATACAAACATACGAATTAAATTGAATAAGCTTCCCTTACCTGGATCAGTGAGTGAACGTCCTAACGTAAGATTTTGGGTTCGCCCGTCTACAGCTTTCTACCCTCAAAGATCACTTAACTCTTGCAACTAAATCTAACCACATAAAAATCAAGTATAACTTAGACTATATCCCTGCATGCAACCAGAACTTGGTTTTGCATGTAACTCAAGAACGAACGACTAAGGGAAGAAACTTACCAGCTCAAACTTGAAACTTGTTCGGTTTAAGAGGAAGCTTGGGACGCCGGGAATGCTCCTACGGTGCCTGAACGGTGATCGGAGCAGAGAAGAGTGAGTTACAGTAGAGAGAAGGGGAATTTCTAGAGAGAAGGAGGAGAAAATGGAAAGTCAGAGTTTGGGAGGTGAAGGTGCATGCAGAAGAGAGTGGGCAGGGTTTTTCAGAAATCATGTTTGTTTACCCCACGTCCAAACGGTCGTGCACTCTCATGTTGACACCTGCACTCCACTAACTGACTTCCGAATCTTCTATTATTGACACCTGGCGTTAGTGCGTCAGAGTTGAGTGCGTTTTTAATGCATCTGAGCAGGGTTTTGGGCGCATTTAATGAGATTAAACAGGTGGGGTTTGGGTTAAATTTCTGAGGTCTGACATTCACCCTAACTACAAAAATTTTCGTCCTCGAAAATTAAAACCTACCAGGAAACAGGTGAGGGTACAAGTCCTTCATGGCATCCTCCACTTCCCATGTAGAGTCGCCCGTCTTATCGTTCCACACCATTTTCACTAAACGAACGCCCTTTCCCTTGTAGTACTTGGTGCGGTTATCTTCCACACGGACTGGTTGCATCTCTAGCGTCCGGTCTTGACTAAGACGAACGTCTTCCAACTCCAGTATGTGAGATGGGTCGGCTATGTACTTCCGGAGTTGGGAAACGTTGAAGACTGGATGAAGGTTGGACAGTTGAGGTGGCAATGATAGCTCGTACGCTACTGGTCCGATCTTCCTTAGGATTTGGTAAGGCCCAACGAACTTGGGAGATAGTTTCTTGGGTCGAACAGCTCTGCCTACTCCAGTGGTCGGATTCAGCCTAAGGAAAACATGATCTCCATCATTGAACTCTAGCGGCCTTCTTCTTCTGTCTGCGTATGACTTTTGTCGACTCCTAGACATCTTCAACCTCTCTTGGATTAATTTTACCTTCTCGGTCGTCTGCTGAATAAGCTCGGGTCCAGTCAACACGTTCTCTCCTTCTTGAAACCAGCAAAGTGGCGTGCGGCACTTCCGTCCGTAAAGAGCTTCAAAGGGAGCCATTCCAATGCTAGACTGGAAACTGTTGTTGTAGGTGAACTCCACTAAAGGCAAGACTTCATCCCAGACGCCCATGTGATCAAGGACGCACGTCCTCAGCAAGTCTTCGAGCGTCTGGATGGTTCTTTCAGATTGGCCGTCCGTCTGAGGGTGATACGCCGAACTCATCTGAAGTTTGCTGCCCAGTTCGCTTTGTAAGGATTGCCAAAACCGAGAGGTGAATCTCGTGTCTCGGTCAGAGATGATACTGGACGGCACTCCGTGTAGACGAACGATCTCCTTAATGTAGAGCTTTGCCAGGTTGATCATAGACATCTTCAGGTTGACCGCTAGGAAATGAGCGCTCTTCGTCAATCGATCCACTATTACCCAAATGGAATCGTGATTCTTGACTGTGCGGGGTAAGTGGGACACGAAGTCCATGGAAATGTTGTCCCACTTCCATTCGGGAATCTCCAGTGGTTGCAGTAGACCGCCCGGCCTTTGGTGTTCCGCCTTCGCTCGTTGACAAGTTAAGCATGATGCCACAAACCGTGCGACATCATTCTTCATTCCCGGCCACCAGAATGATTTCCTGAGATCTTGATACATCTTAGTCATGCCAGGGTGCATGCTAAGACGGTTGTGATGACCTTGCTCCAGAATAATCCTCTTCAGATCTCCATCGTTTGGAACGCACGTCCTACCCATATAGCGTAAGAGGCCGTCTGTTCCAGTGTTGAACTCCTTAGCTTGATATGTGCCGAGCGCGCCCCTTATCTTTACCAATTCTTCATCTGTTAGCTGCTTCTCTCTGATCCGATCAAAGACATCACTGGATATTCTAAGGTTACAGCATCTAATATTGTTCGGTTCCAAATCGAACTGTAACCTTAGATCTCTAAAGCTCTCAACCAGACTGAGTTCTCTTACCATCATAACCGAGACGTGAACTGCTTTCCTGCTTAAGGCGTCCGCCACCACATTAGCCTTCCCCGGATGATAAAGCAGTTCAAAGTCGTAATCCTTCAAGAACTCTAGCCAACGTCTCTGCCTCATGTTTAACTCCTTCTGATCAAAGAGATATTTAAGACTCTTGTGATCACTGAAGACTTGGAACGTAGATCCATACAGGTAATGCCTCCAAATCTTCAGTGCGAAGACGACCGCTGCCAACTCCAGGTCGTGCGTCGGATAGTTTCTCTCGTGAATCTTCAGCTGACGAGAAGCGTACGCGACCGCTCTCCTCTCTTGCATTAGCGCACAACCTAAACCTTGATGAGAAGCGTCGCAGTATACCTCGAACGGTTTGGCTGTGTTTGGAATAATCAGAACTGGAGCGCTCGTCAATTTCCTCTTCAATTCCTGGAAGCTCGCTTCACACCGATCGGTCCATGCGAACGGTTGATCTTTCCTGGTCAGCTGAGTTAGCGGGGCTACTATCTTAGAAAATCCTTCAATAAAACGCCTATAGTAGCCCGCAAGTCCCACGAAGCTGCGAACCTCAGTGACCGAACGGGGACTCTCCCATTCTAATACCGCTCATACCTTGGCCGGATCCACTGAGATACCTCCAGCCGACACCACGTGCCCCAAAAATTGAACTTCTTTCATCCAGAACTCACATTTGGAAAATTTGGCGTACAACTCCTTCTCCCTCAATACGCCAAGTACAATTCTCAAGTGCTCATCATGTTCGTCCTGGGTCTTGGAGTAGATGAGTATGTCGTCGATGAAGACGACCACAAACTTGTCCAGGTACGGTCTGAATATGTGATTCATATAATCCATGAAGATTGCTGGTGCGTTCGTCACACCGAATGGCATCACTACATACTCGTAGTGTCCGTAACGAGATCTGAAAGCAGTCCTCTGGACGTCTCCCTCCTTAACTCTGATTTGATGATATCCAGACCGCAAGTCAATCTTTGAGAACACTGTGGCCCCATGCAGTTGATCCAACAAATCATCTATCCTTGGCAGTGGGTACTTATTCTTGATGGTCAGCTTGTTCAATTGTCTGTAATCAATGCAAAGCCGAGAGCTGCCATCTTTCTTCTTCACCAAGAGCACAGGTGCTCCCCAGGGTGATACGCTCGGCCTGATAAATTGCTTGTCCATCAAATCTTCAATCTGCTTCTTGAGTTCAGTCAACTCCGCTGGTGACATCCGATATGGTTGAACAGAGATGGGTGCTGCCGTTGACACTAAGTCAATTGTGAACTCAACCTCGCGAGTAGGAGGTAGTCTAGGTATTTCTTCCGGAAAAACGTCCGGGAACTCATCCACAACCGATCGTCCGTTACTGTCACTACTGGACGATCGTTCTTGCCTTAAACTTCCGAACTCCTGATCTTCGTGCGTCATAATCAGGAAACAACTGGCACCTTCCATGATATCTTCCTTCAATTGACCGAGCGTCACTGATAACTCTTCTTCTTCTTCATCAGGAAATACTAACTCTTTCTTACCACAGTCTATGAGAATGCGATTGGTAGCCAACCAATCCATTCCTAAAATCACTCTAACTCTTTTAGAGGTAAACAGATCAAATTGACCTTATATCTACGCCCCTCGACCTCTATAGGACATCTGACGCAGACCGTAGACGTCCTAACCTCTCCAGTCGCTAGGGTTGACACCACCAAGTCGAACTGCATCTCGCTCTCAGCTAACCCAATTTCTCAACACACGCCTTCGAGATGAAGGAATGTGTTGCCCCCGAATCATATAGTACACAGCAAGGCTTTCCAAATAATAAGCAAGTGTTGATGATGAGTGTACCTGAGCTGGCTGCTTCAGCGCCCGCAATTGCGTAAACTCTTCCCACTGCCTGCGCTCGTCCACCCCGACCTTGTTGCATCCTTCCAGCGTTTGGCGGCCTCATTGTCGCTCGTTCTCCCATATTGCACTCGCTCTCCAAGTAACCATTTCTTCTGCAGCGATTGCAATACTTCCCTCCAACCAACTGAGGACAGGATGACTTGAAATGGGGTCCTCCACATTGAAAAAATTTAACTGTCCCATACTGTCCAGACTGTCCGGCAACAACCATAGATTGAGACCCACTTGCATTCGATGGTTGTGTTGGACGAGCGTACGGCGTCCTATTCCGATTCAAATTTGATCTCGACAAAACCGATCCCCTAGCCACTTGCTGTTGTTTCTTCTGTTGCTCCACTTCGGCCACATTCTTCTCCAACACCTTGGCCCTCTCAACCAGCGTAGGAAACGACCTAATACATAGGCTGGATATCAACACTTTCAGATCACTCCTCAGCCCATTCTCAAACTTCCTACACTGCCACTCCTCACTGGTCGTCATAGTGTTGAATCTCACCAAGTGCTTGAATTTGTTGGTGTACTCTGAAACCGACATTCCACC